GGAGTATATAAACTCCAGGAGCATCTTCCCAAAATCAGGCATTAGTGCGCTGACCATCGAGTAGAATCCCGAGTAGGAATCCTCTGAGGTCTTGTCTTGTCTTGTGTGATTATTGATGAAAGTCAATAAAAGATAAATACTGCTGGAACTCTGTGTTTTACTTCTGCCACTATAAAGGAGACACCGAATCTTAAATATAAAGAAGTGTAAATATACACAACAAGGCCATCAATAAATAATCTATACTAACAACAGAATCGAAATTTCTTGGCCAATTTACAAGAACTACTTATTATTCACAGACATCAAGTCCCAATGTGCCAATTTGATAACTTTAAATTTTATAAATTCAAATTTAATAACTTTAAATTTTATAAATTCAAATTTAATAACTGTAAATTTCATAACTTAAAATTATATAAATTCAAATGTAATATCTGAAAATTTGATAACATTAAATTTGATTTTTTTTTTTTAGTTTTGACTACAGGAGGCACAATCCCAAAAGATTTCCTGTTAGTGAGCTCAAATTGTATTAAATTCAAAGAAAGTAGTCAAAATATATGAAAATAAATATAATATAATATGATATATTCCAGAAATTTGAATTGGGGAGGTGTTTCAACTTAGTTGGGCTTAACTTGGCAAGGTTTGAATTTACAAGTCACGTTTGCATCACACCACATTAAATTATAATCTTGGTTTCAACTAGGTTCATGGGAACAAGATTCCAACTCAACATAACTCACTCCAGCGAAATTAAATGAAATCTAACTTTACTTCTAGTGAATAGCTGACCTGTTTTAATACAGTACTTGCTTTTTTTGTGAACTTCCTCTTTCAATAACCTGTTTTATACATGCTATAACCCAATCAAACACTGCTCCCCAGCCATCTGACCCAATATCCACTCAAAAATCTTCTTGGCAATCAATTCGCACACATCCAATCCAATGCCCCAGAAAGAAAAAAAAGGGGGGTTGGAGAAGACATGCAAATATAATAATACAATGGGGCCCCACGATGCGGGCAGAATTGGCACTTGAACTGTGTTTCCATTCCAGAATGTCTACATATCAGGTCATGTATTCCCATTAACTTCAATGAGAACATGTTCAATTGTTACTCTAGTTCCTCAAAAATTGGGAAAAATTCCTCGAAATTGAATACAAAGCTTTCTTAAATTCAAGAAACAAGTAAATAACTGCGCAGAAGAAAACCACAAATAAACTTGATCTCTTGGCTTGAAAATGAACACAAAAAGGCAAAGAGTAAACACAAGTCTTGCTATAACTGTGCAAAAATTATGGAAAAAACTCAAGAAATGGAAAAAAAAGAAGCAGAAAAGTATCCCATTTTTGAGAATGCATCAGAATGAATTTACAATAAAATTATCTTTGCAAAAACAAATAGCCCAATTTCTTCAAGATACTTCAAAAAATTAAACTTCACTTTTTCTTTTAAAATTTCATCAGTATCAATATCTCGAAATATTGTTCCTATATCGGGGCAGATTTTCCAAGCTTCTAGGATCCATAAGTCGAATTGTCCGTATCAGCCCCGGGGTACCATGTCATTTTAGAGCAATGTTGCGCCGAGAACCCTGGACTTTTATTATTATTTTTGCAAAAAAATTCTTAAGGTAGGTGTTCCTTCTTTGACCTTTTACTTAAGGAGTACTCAAGATTTCACCGCAACACATAATATAATAAAAATAAATTTCATCCAGCGTAACACCCACAGCACATGCCTTCCCCGGCCAAGTCGGGGTCCACACACACTCACCGCGAAAAACGAAACACGCGAGGTCGTCATTGAGATTCACGTCAGAATCGGAAAAGTCATACAGCAAATCGATGAAGGGATTCGTCCCGGAACATTCCACTGCGAAATTCCGATCATAGACCCACCGTTGAGAACAGAAAAGCAAGGGCTAACACACCGTACCAAGAGTCTACCGCGATCAGGGTTCAAGAAAGCTTCCGGAGTCCTGCCCAGGCCTGGTTTGCCCTGATCAGGCTTTAGTAGCTCCTTCCCTAAGCAACTGCCCAGGCCCCACTGCCCAAGAGGCTCCGTGGGCCCCAAGCGCGTCTCTTTTAGCTTGTGACTTGCTTTTTACATTTCACGCGAAATAATCCGTCTTCTTCAACAAGAGGACTCACACAATCAAGCGTAGAATACAGTGAGACACCCCCACATGTGGACACCTCAACATGGGGACAATTTAACATAGGGACAGTTATTTTTCAATGAAAAAAAATCATAAAAAAAGGCCCAACATATGGACACTGACTCAACATGAGGACATTTCATGATAAAATTGCCAAAAAATGTTTCAAGCATTGATTTTATTATGCTTAATTGCAAGAAGCAGATACTTCCAACCCTAAGATCTATGCAAGAAAAATGCTTTGGTACTTTTCCCATCACTTTCCAATCCATTCAGCTAATTAAAAAAATTACCTATAGCACAGATGGACTTCTTTCTCTCTTTGTGACTTGGATATTATCTTTACAGATGCCAACATTTCAATGAACTGTACAGCGGTATACTATTCAATGCTCCAAATGTTCTTATTGGGTTGAAAAGATATTCACTGAATCAAAATCAAGTGGCAAACAAATTTTTTTCATGGAATTCTGAAGAATATTTCTTCCATAAAACACCAATTAAAAATTAAATAATGTAAGTCTATGGGAAAACAAGACTTGACCCAGGGACAATTCAACTTAGGGACACTCTTGATGCACCAATTATGTCCTCATCTGGGGGTCTCACTGTAATCTAATGTTGAAAAGGAATTACAGAGGGTGATAAATACCTCGGATAATGGACTTAGGCTTACCACTGAATTAATCCTCAGAGGGGCATAGAGTAAAACCTCTTTAATTCGAAATTGAGGGGACTTTCAAAGAATTTCATAGTTAGGGAAACAAGCATTTTGGGGGGAAATGAAGAATTGCAAGAAAAATTTAATTTCTGCTGTTCGGGCCTTAAATTTCTTCTCAAATCAGTTGACAGGATGCTGAACTTGGAGTCAAGGGTTTATCTGTCCAATTATTTTTTTCACTTTCTTTCAAAGCACATGAAGTTGAGTTTTTATTGCTTTTATTTTTCTTGTGTCAAGAAAATAGCGAAAAGACCTCCAGAAAATTCGAGCGGTGGAGTTTTTTGGGGGGGACGCCTTCAAGTTGGGAGAGGTTTTTAATTTACTGTTTTCAAGGAAATTCAGACACATACTTGAAGAAAAATGATTCTACATACGAAGGTATTCGACTTGAGAAGGTTCGAATTACCGAGGCTCAACTGTAATACTCCCTGAATTACAATTTATTGACTCGCCGCATCGTTTTCAATTCTGAATAGATTCACAATTCGTGAGAATGAAATTTCTTCGGTTCAGAATTCTCGTTATTTCATCGCGAAGATCCGTTCATACGAAGATTTATTCCAAAATTGCATTTCCAGGGAATCCAGAACAAAATTCCTCATGGCTACTAATTCGATGGATTCTTTGGTGGCCTGGAACCAATCACTCATGTTAACATAAACCAGTGAATTAATCACCCACTGAAACAAATTACGCCCATTAACCATGGAAAAGTACAGTACTACGAAGATCCAACATACGCACAAAATCCAATCCGTGGTGTTCCTTGTTTAAACTTTTCAATTCTTCAAATTCAAATTCTCTCTTCTTTTCGAGGGCTCTAAAATTAATTAATCCTTTAAAAAGATTGCAGTACAACTTAGCAGGGTTTTAAAATCCCTTTTTTCCGAAAAATATTAACCCTCCTCGCGAAAAATGCATTTCCTCTTCAAATTTTAATCCTAAATATTTAGTCCAACCCAACGGTTTGAACATTCGGCACATAAGAAAAACCATAGGCTGTCTGAAGAGTTGTTGTGCAATGAAAATATGCTTCAATTAAATTTTTTTTACATACGGACTTACAGTATTCCTTCAAAAAAATGATCGAAATCTCAAACTTATGAAGCACGAGAAATTTCAGAGCACCACAGATAAGTGCGCCGTTACTTCATGTATCAAGGAAAAAGCATATTCGTCCGAACACATCAACACTTTCGATACCCTGAAAATTAATTTGAACATAAAATACTGTACTTCACGCAATCTACATGATCTTCAGACCGAGCAACGACCGAGACCAGAAAGCTCACCAGCAGTTTGGAAGACCGGGTTGTTGTCGAAGTCAGCGAAGTTCGGCTGACTTATCGCAGAATGTGTAGGAGTGTTCGGAAGTGATCCGAAAGGATCGAATTTCGGCTTCACGCCTCCGGAATCCGCATTCGATTTTGGGGTGGTCTTCCACGCGTCAAAAGCACTCGCACTCTGTAAATCAAAATCTAACACTCCAGAAAATACGACAACGAAACGCCCATAACACTCACAGGGGTAGAATTTGTTCCACGTACGTTCAGTGGACTGACTTGGGGAACTAAAGAAGCCAGTGGCTTGGCTCCAGATTTTGGTGAGGTTTTCTCCAAACGTTCCACAATCGACGGATCAACGTAATACTTTTTCTTCTCGTATTTCGCGATCATAAAATCACGAACTTTGTGTTCGTCTTTAAAATCTGGATAACCTAGCTTTTCGTCGTAACTCCCGAGCCACACTCCCCGGCAAAAGTGGTTACCGTGTTTTGAGAGATTATCCAATTCCTCGGGTGTAAAAGACGCCATGGATATTGACTTGACTCGGTGTGGAGGAGTCAGACCTCGTCTGCAAACCAGTCACAATAAAACTAGGGGCAATCGAAAAGAAAATTTTTTTTCACTTACAGGAGCCCTGAACAGTGGGTACAGACGAATGAGCCAATTGTCGTATTCACGTAAGTCGGACCTTTTTGTCCGCAGTCGAAACACGTTTTATTCTCGAGTCGCGCACCGATTTCGCGAAGTTTTGTAAGATTTGTATCTTCTTGGCGCACTGCTCTTTTACTCGACGCCATCGTGACGAGCAACACAGAAGGAAAACCTGCGAACGATACATAAAAAATTACACTTAACCTGCTACCACGCAGGATTCTCCATCATTTGCAGCAATTCGTATTCGTAAACTTAATAATTCTAAAAATAATATCAATGGCAAAGAATAACTTCGTGAACTATTCTCTTCCGCTCTTACAATTCACAGTTTAAGAGTTTTGATCACAAGAGTAATTCGCGCGTTCGAACAACATAGCACCCAGCACTGAGTTCCGGTGATGAAAACCTTTCGAAATTCAAAAAAGAACGAAATTCGCCGAAAGTCTCGAAAATGGAATTCTGAGGAAATAACTAAGAATCTCTTCCATATCACTAAATAAGAACGCACTGAACGAAACGCCCGAGTTTCCGATGAAGACCGCTCATCAAACAGATGGCAATCAACTTGCTGCAATTCTGAAGAACAAGGGCAGTGCTGAAAACTGTCCGAAGACAGAATCAGTCCCACGGGATGAGTACTGCAGGAAGATGTCGCAGTGGGTACACATGCAAATTCTAACAGCTTCTCCGGGAAAGAGACTGTATGACCGGATAGGTGAAGATGTTACAAGATGTACTACGGTACTACACCGCCAGACAACCAACAGCTGATGTACCAACCAATTATAACGGGATTGCATTCTGGGCTAATTACAGTAATGTGCTGTACTTTCTAGGATCTAAATAAGCATTTCAAGATGAGAGTATAATGGAAAAGCTGTACTTCAAGCGCAATTTCCCCTACCACTGGATGAATGAGTCAAATTCCAAACCTAAATCATCCAAAAAATATTGTTCAGTTATGCTGTGAAATACTATTTTATGGGATAGCAATGTTCCTTGACCTATAGATAAGGTATAATGTAAAGTATTGCTGCTTGCTACTGGTAATGCAGCCTAAAGAAATTCCAAGGATTTCTCTACAGTGTTGGGAGTCGATTTGTTTGCAATAGACGCAGATAACCTTTGTATGATAATCATTCAGCACCAATTGTAAAATAATATCTTCCAACATTTCATTGACACCTTGCATCAAGAAAAATCTGCATAATGTTCTGCTATTCCTCCAGAAAAAACCCTAGGAGAAGTTTGAAGACTTAGTTAGTAGGAGGTCGTCCTCAAACATGTCATATTTCTAAAGGAAAGAAGTCGTTTAATAGGAGACTTCTAAAAGTAAGGCATGAGTCTGTCTTCCCAGCAACACTGTCCAAGAACAATAGTCAAGAAAATATAGTGAATACAAATGGTGGGCAAGAAAATCACAGTTTATGCAGCTGCAGTCTTTCTACAGAACTCAAGTTCCACCACTGACGTGTTCATATTGACAGTCAAATTGAAGTTATATAAATCTGTTCTGACTTCTGAATGTCAATTCAGATTATGGTTTCAAGTACTGTATACATTGTAAAACCACCATGAGTTTAT